CCTTTTTCTCATATTTACAAACATCAACTTTATTTTTTAGTTGTTCTTCTTAGTGCACTCTTATTTTCTCAAATTTCCTTTTTGATCCTCTTCTTATTTATAATTATTACATACGCTTTCCAAGTTAGTTTTACTTTTCTGTTGCCATTTCAACGTGAAAGTGATATAATAAAATTAGATTGTGTAAAAATATAGAAGTAGAAATTTGCACAAGTCAAGAGAATATTTGTAGATTGATGGAGGAAAAGTGTCTTCGCTGTTCTTGAGTTTCCCGAGTGAATAACGGGTAGAATATTCTTTGCCTTACGAATACACTACATATTATCTTGTAAGTCTGACTACTCCTTGACGACATCTAATCAACAATCATTGATCAAGTCTCAAAAACTTAAATTTAGACCAACAAATGATGATTGATCCATGAATCTCTAATACTTGATGAATCAGTTAATTGATCACATAGATAAATTTTGTGGAGGTTAATATGAGTTGACTGTATAATCTATTTTACATGGGGTACACTTTCCCTGTTTCAGTTGCATTCTTGTTTGATGGATTGGATTGAGGAGTCGAGTTGGAAATGACAATTCATATATGGACTTATTTCAAGTTGACTATGCATTTCAACTAGAGGTGTCAAACTAGGCAGGCTTGAGGATCAGCCCAAGAATAGTGACCCGTGAATCTGGTGTAACTTGTGTGGGCCAATTCACGAGCTACTAAATGGAAAACTTTGGGTTGAGCTGATTTAATTGATTAGGCCCGACAGTTAACCTTTAAGCTCGTTTTCATATAAATTAAATAATTTATTACTATTATTAAATTTTTTAATGAATTTTTAAAAGTTGACAGTATAGCCATCTATAGAAGTTGTGTGTCGATGTTACAACCTTGCAAAAGAAGTAACTATAAAACTTTGTGACATTGTCACAACCTTATCTGCAGCCTTGCAAGAAAGCCGTTGACACAAATTTTTCATGCTTTTGCAAGAAGACAATCATACCTGCTCTGCTTGTCACGTGTTCCTTGCTTTTAAAATTATTTTTTTATTAAAGTAGTAATTGAAATTTTCGATTTAGTTTTACTTGAAAATTGATATGAGGAAACTTTAGAATTAAACTAGATCAAAACTTTGAAGGACCGCCTGATTCGACTCTAAACATTTTCAGATCTCGGGCCAGTCCCAGAACTCATTTTTATTTTAACGAATTAGCCCAAATTACAAACCATCACGGGCCGATTCTTTAACGGGATTGGATCGGGCCAGTTTCACATCTGGAGAATTGGTTTGAAGTCGACCCTTCCATTTTTAGACCGCTAGTTTCAACTCTTAAGAGCTAGGATTACAGCTTCCATCATATCACTTCCTCCACAACAATGTCTTACTATCTATGTTTTAAATTTTAACAATGAATGCTTCTAATTGTAGAGTGTAAATTAATTTAATTTCGGTTAATTTTTTTTAGTAGCACGCTAGTCTTCAATACACAAAATCATATTTTGAATCTTAATTACTATTATGCATACATACCATAGTATCCATGTTAGGGATGGCAACGGGGTGGTGTGTGTGGGGCAGGACGCAGGGCAATTTGTTGTCCCGTTATCATTATTTTTTTTATGAATTTCTTTTTTTTTTTCATTTTCAAAATTTCGGGTTATGTTATTATTAGATAATAAAATACAAATTCAAAATGAATTTTTAACAGGTGAATTGTCTAGAAATAAAATTAATTTTAATCTTTTTTCCTTCACGAGGTGGGTTCAAGCCCTGTTTATTATTTTTTTTTTTTTTTAATTTTAAAATTTCGAGTTATGTCATTATTAGATAATAAAACACAAATTCAAAATGGATTTTTAACGGATGAATTATTAAGATTATTAGATAATAAAACACAAATTCAAAATGGATTTTTAACGGATGAATTGTTAAGAAATAAAATTATTTTAAGTCTTTTTTCCTTAACGGGGGACGCCCCATGCCCCACGACGCGGCGCCCCACTCCGCCAATCCATTCAGGCCGAGTTTTTTGCTTCCTTAGGGGCGGGGCGGGGCGGGGCGGGGCGGGGCGAATTTTTTTGCCATCACTAATCCGTATGGATCAAGAATGGTATATAATTGTCCTTTCATAGCTTACTAACACTTCAAATATGAAATAACCCTTCAATAAATATTGTGTAGCAAAATTTATTTTCCTCGAATTAATTTGATAAAAGATAGCATATAATTATTTCACTTTGTAGTTAGTTAAATTAAGAGTTGAATGGTAATCGTTCTTCATATAAAATTAGTTTCCTCACTGCTAAATCTTAATACCATTCATCTAGTAAGCAATTTAATTGGGTGAGATATTATCGAACTTTCACCGTACCGAGGTAATTGAGCTTAAATTTTGTACAATCGGGTTTTTATACTTTTATTTTTAAGCAATTACCTAACTACAGCTGGGTTGGTCAATGATTCTACTAATATGTGTTAGCTTCGTGCTAATTTTGTACAATCAGCTCACTAATTTATAATTTACGAGTAATAAGGTCATTTGGTTTAAGCTCCATCTCTATGATTACTAGGGTTGAGTTAAAAAAGATTTATAATATATTTTCTCCAAAATGGTAATGGGTACATTGACATTACAATTGAGTGACAAATTCATTCCAATGTGAATTTTGTTGCTCAAACAGGGGCTTGGACGGGCCCTTAATGATCTTATTGCATCAAATTGAAGTTCAACAACCTAGTTGTAGATATGATGATAGTGCAATTTATGCAATTAAATTAGGTGAATATTATTGCATTGATGGAAGTTCTTTTATTGCCAAGTCTGTATCCCATTTATCTAGTAAACAAATTAAGCTCTTCTTTGAGCCCCATTTTCAGAAAATTCATTTTTAACCACACATTCACCAATAAAATAATATTACATATGAATCTAAGAAATTTTTCTTAATTTTTAACCACACATTCTCCAAGAATCACTATTCAAAGCTGTATTTTTTCCTTTCAAAATAGAGCTCAAACAAGGGTTAAATTATGTAAATTTAAAATTATATTGAAAATCCCATCTCTAGTTAGGTCTGGCGTCGAGTGGGTCGGTTCGAGTATTTCAACACCTAGAACCACCCATTGTACTTCGGGTATTTTGTAAATGGAACCATTCGGGTCTTCGTAAATACTAGAACCAAATCCAAACCTGAATCGTCGGTTTTGATTCTACCAATAATAATTTTATATACATTTATTTAATAAATATTTCACATAAGCCCTTTTTGTACATATATAAATACGTTGCTACTCGAAAATATTTGTTCAATGGAGAAAATTTAGCTAAAAAATCTTCAAGAAGCAAAATATTGGATGGTAAAAAACACAAAAATAGGAGAAAATTAAAAAAAAATTAAAAATTAAATTATAATTTGAGAAAAAATTATTTTTCATAATAAGATTCGATCCATAAGCGAGGCACACTAGAGCATACACTTTAATTATGAATATGCTTAAATTTTTCCACTATTAAAATGAACTGACATACAAAATAATACTTAGATACATAACTATATCATATCAAAAAATTACGGTTCACTTATTGAACTTGCACAGTTTGAATAAAAAAAAAATTATATTGAAAAAAGAGAATCACGGCCTCAAGATAATTAAAAAGGTACAATATAATGCAAGCAATGAATATATCAATTTCAACTGTCATGCATTATGAAAAAAATAAAATAAAAATTCAATTAAGTTTTATAAACAATACAAGAAAGTTAAAAAGCTTGAATTGTAAAGAATGAACGTTTTAATTCATCAACTTACACCACAATCTGCTTGAAATTTTTTATTTATAAAAAGCCCAAATTATAAACATTAGCATGCAATAACCTCTGAAATGCAACAATGTGATGTCAGGAGAGATGTAAAAAAGTAAGAGCCAATCTTATTTTTTAATGTTAGAGTTTAGAGTTTTCGACTAATTACTACCCAAATTAGTATTTTTATATATTTTTTTATCCAGCATATAAATTGTAAATAAAAAATTATATGAAAATCGATTTCACTCGAGTACCTATGGTTTTAGTTTAGGAACCAAGAACTGAACCCGATTAAGTCGATTATTGGTTCTAGGTTCTGGTTCCTAATTTATTTTTCTCGAAAATCGGACCAGAACTTCTGATTCTGGTTCGATTTTTGTTCAGGAGATTCGGTTTCGATTAAAATGCCTAGGTCTATCTCTAGTTTTCATCACAAGAGAAATACACACGCACACACTAGTTTTTTACCCGTGTAATGCACGGGTTGTGCTATCTTGAAGGTCATTTTAGCGTACCTATGACAACAAGAATAAGAAGACTACAATTTGCCACCATTTAATAAATGGTGTTAGACTTCTAAATTCAAAGAACAATTATTAATTCATATGCTTCAAATATGAGCACAATATGCACAGGAAACTCTACCTAAGGAACTTGTGAAGATTTTCTAGTCAAGTATCTCAACTTCTATATGATAGGTCTTATCAGCTCAATCATTACTTTCCTTGGTGTCTCGTCTTTTTCCATTATTTCCTCTTGCATTCATCGTTACTCAAATACATTTCGGAGAACTAACTGGTCCATCTACAGCGTTAGTAAGACGAAAATTCAAGTTCTGCTTGAAAAATGTATGAATTGCATGGGAATCATTAGTTTCTAATATAAGTAATCAAAAAATGTATTTAAAAATCAGCTAATCATAAAATTTCACTGAATTTGTCATTTGCATTCATGTTCACAATTCGAACATCAAAGACAATTAATTGAAATAAATTCCCAAAAATCATCTTGAGGTTAATAAGTAATGCAAATATATTCAATGTGTGCAAATAATGAGGGAGAGACTGAAGAGATATCTTCGGTTGACAATTTAACAGAAGCCAGGAAGCGGAGAGATATAACAAAGCATACCAACATCGGATTCTTATTTTAGAACTTTAGCTCCCGTGCCTGTTAAAAAAAAGCCCAACCCAAAAAGGAAAATAAATTGTAAATCATAATACCGATACTCGTAAAACCACACTCATCAAGCATCCAACACCACTCTTCAATAGAAAGATAATCTTTTATCTTATAAGCTAATGAAAAGCTCTCATACGTAGAAAAGATGAAAAGAAACTTGATAACATTCACAATATTTCTTCAGGCAACTAGATTTTTCACAATTGTATCCCCTCTTATGTTGAGTTGAAGTAGAAGTTTTGCTGGACTTATCCTGCAATGAATAAATAAAGAGAATATTTAAATACGCTTAAGCACCAAGTGAGTAGAACATGAGTTTAGAATTCACTGGCTAACCCTGGCTTCAGATAGATAATTCGAGCTCCTAATCACTTTGGAAGCAAAGGCAAGAGGATTTTTGGATTCAATCTGTTTGCGAGTTGTAAGGACAGTGTCCTCATGGACATGCTTGTTGAAGCAATATGCATACGCACATGGCTCTACTTAGTAGACTCCAGTAGCGAAGCATCCACAGTAACCAAATTAAGAAAATTTTATTTAAACCCTTAAGCATATTCAGAAGCTACGAAATGGCTTATACCACATAATGCAGTTTCTGACATTGATTCTAGGTTTTTATGTATATTGAGAAGTGCCCAATGGAGGGCATCTAACCTAACCAAAGTTGTTGACAACAAAACAACTCTTGAACGATAGGGAAAAAACAAGACAGCGACAGTTTTGTAAGAGAGAATCTTTGTCAAAATCTAATCATCAAAGTTCAAGCATGTCAAGAACTTCACATTTAATAAATCACTTTATGAGTTTAATAGTAGAACTAAACGCAATAGGCAAGCCAAAATTTGACATATAGCCATTTGATTTCGCCAAAAATAACTATAATGACACCAAACAACAAGTAGACTTCTTAAGACTGAACAACAAGAAAATAACAAGGCATGGAGTTCACGAGAGCTCAATCACTATTTTATAAGGCCTATAAGGTATGATACTTTACCTTCATGGAAAGTCTTGGACAAAATACAAGGAAGTAGTCCAACCATAATTGAATAGGGCTCATAGTGTGTATGCCATCGCGAGAAATAAAATAAAGAACTTATAGTTACAAGCATTTTGATTTGTTCCAGTTACATCACTTACAAGACTCACCATCTACTGATTGTTCCAACCTACGTCCAAGAATTTAATTCATGTTGTACATCTGAAAAAGGTTAGATGTGTTAAGGGATAAAAATCTCACACTGGTTAAATACCGAAATATTAACCAACTTAAAAAGATCTTGGGCTATTCCTCTTAACAAGGTTGTCGTTATTAAGAAGGACCCCAAATCTTAACATGTTATCAGAGTCCATTAAACTCCAACGAGCGACTCGATCCAATTATAAATCTCAATTAATGAGCAACGGATTACAAGATTGGTCTGTTCAAACGAGAAACCATCTTGTAGGGGCGTGTTAAGAGATAAAAATCCCACATCGGTTAAATACCGAAATATTGACCAACTTAAAAAGATTTTGGGCTACTTCTCTTAACAAGGTTGACCTTATTAAGAAGGACCCCAAGTCTTAACAAGATGCAGATAAAAATTAATTTTACAATAAAGAAGACATACATCTTCTTCTTTGGACCGTTCTAATTGATCTCTTCATTGACCATATATCGAAATGCAGGCATTTTCCATAAGAACACTATTTTCAATGGCACAAATTTCTTTTTCTGAGTTAATAGCTAAAGTATAGTTTAACAATTCTTGACCAGCGCTCGGAGGTTGAAAATTGGCATTTGGGCTTGGACTAATCGATAGTCTTGAAGAACCAAAAGCTTCATGCTTAACAAATTTGTAGTCCTTTGCAGTTGTTGCTAGAGCATTTAAATGCAAACCAATGCCAGGAAAAACACAAATCCATACAAAAGACGAACAAAATTAGTTTAAAGTCCATATTGTTTGAAGTCGTCATACTTTAATCACCGTTATTTCACAAAAATAGCCAATTAAAGTGGAATGGTCTTCAACATAATAAAATCAAGATAGGCTACAAGATATGAGAAACTATTAAGAGGAACTCACAAACAACACATTGAAAAATCTGTCAAGCTTAACTGCAAATGTGGAAATAAAAAGGTTCAGGGTAAAGGAGGAGAATCAGTGCATACCTGCTCATTAGCCAATGGTAAAAGGCCACCAACATATACTTGACGTGCATGCCTTGTATCCTATGGATGAAGTAAAGATTAGAAGAAAAGTTAAAATTACATAAGCAAGTAAAGGAGAAGCATTACTTTTTTCCCTGCTGACTCATGGCTTGGATTGGCAACAATGGATGGTAGCCCAACTGGTTAACCTATTAGCATGCATTGTATTTCTTGAGAAAAATGATGGTAACCTTCTAAAATTTATAAAGATAGCACAAAATAAAAGAGAAAAAAATTGGTAAATTGTTAAAATGACAGAAGGTATAAAGTGTAACGTTAGGAGACGAGATATGAAAATGTACTCACTTGACAAAATCATTTCTAAGGGCTTGCATAAGAATAGTAGCCAGGAAACCAGTTAGAAACACTGTCACACTGGAGTTGATTATTGGGAACCAATGGATTTCCAAGTGATGGCGTAGTGAAGAAGATTGAGTACTTCATTCTCTTCTCGAAAGGAGTTTACTTTCCTTCCATTTTACCAAGTACATGAAAACTCTACTTCAACTTCCTTATCCTCAATAATTGTAAATCAGTTTATACAATCTGCTGCTTGGTTAAAGACAAAATACTAAGTAACTGAATCAAGATGTGACAGATATGAAGATAAGGTCATAATTTGCCTTCCAAGGCCCCGCACGAACTGGCTTCAAATTTCTTGACCCCGGACACTGCTGAATTGTTTCCAAACATTAAAAAGAAATCCATTAGTGAAATTTAAACCATGCAATTTTATGAAAATAGATTCTGGAAATAATAAAAACTTGCTTTTCCAGATGAGGAACTTTTTCAAAGTATAGCCAACATCAATTAAAATTTTGTACAAAGAAATATAATAAAAGCAATATTAATGATTTAGAAAAACTTATTATAACATATCCAACAGTTTCCCTTAGTCAAAATATGAATATTAATTCCTTTGTTCACATAAACATTGTCAAGTCTTGGCATTAAGCAAAATAAGATCTTTCAGGTAATATCATGACAAAAAGATTCAAACTAATAAATTGGCGCATGAAATTAAATAATTTCACACAAACACAAATAGAAAAAGATGACCTTTTTTCTAATGACTTAAAATTGTACCACTCGAACTAAAGAAAAAGAAAACATCCATTCAAATGAACGAATGAGAAATTAATTGAAGAAACTCTTCTCAAAAAATAAAAAAAAAAAAAAAAAAAAAAAAAAAAAAAAAAAAAAAAAAAATTTTTG